TGAGTTGTAGAATCCAAAGCACAAAAATTGGGGAAAATGTAAGCGAAGACCTACTTGTTCGATACGGCGTTCCGCAGGGTAGTATCTTAGGTCCTTCCCTTTTCCTCATATATATTAATGAGCTCTGCAACCTACAACTGACTAACGGATTAATAATTACTTTCGCGGATGATACAGTCCTAGTATTTCAGGCACCGACATGGGATGAGGTTTTTGCTTACGCGCAGACTGGCTTTGACACTGTCACGAAATGGCTTAATGAAAACATTCTAACGTTAAATGCGGACAAAACAAAATATGTTTCCTTCTCAAAACGAGGTTCCCCAGTTGACCACCCATGGACTATAGTAGCCCATTACTGCTCTAATTCTGAAATCGCAAACTCCCAGTGTACATGTCCAAAACTGCAGAATGTGAGCACTGTAAAATATCTTGGCGTTCTAATAGACCAGAATCTGAATTTTAACAGTCACATCGAATTGCTTACTGCACGAATGCGCAAACTAATGTATGTCTTCAAGAGCATACGAGGGGTCGCTGACACTACTACTATTAGAATGGTGTATACAGCACTTTGCCAATCATTACTGATCTACTGTGTCACAGTTTGGGGTGGCACCTATAAATCCTCACTCCTGAAGCTAGAGAGGGCACAAAGAGCCGTGCTAAAAACGTCATTATCTCTTCCATTTCGTTTTTCTACTGTGGAACTCTATCAAAGGTGCTCCTTGCACTCAGTTCGACAATTATTTATTTTGTACACAGTTCTTAAGCAACATTCTTTACTACCTTTTGACCCCTCTGTACTATCAAAACGACGGAAACATAACGTATGTCCGACCTCATCGTGTTCCCATTTCTCCCACAGATCTTTTTTCTTTTTAGGCGGATTTTTATATAATAAATTAAATAAATCTCTAGATATTTATTCGGAAACTAAAACGTGTGTTAAATTGATGGTATCAAAATTTTTACTAACCCTGGACTACGAACAAACGGAAAACTTGCTAAAAATAGAAAAATAGTAATACACATCTATACATACCTCATATTTTAACACACACTTATGTGCGCGCAAACACACACAATACACACACGCACGCTCTCATAAACATACAGATACAACCACACACACATTTAAAAATAAATACTAGCACATTTTAAATTCAGTTACCCGTTTTGTCTCTTTTCTGTTTTTTTTTTCTCTTTGTAATATTATCTTAAATTTTAAGTGTCAACTTTGTACAGTTTATACATGTTTTTTTCGCGGATGGAAGCCCGGTTATCCATAACACAAGTATTTTACTTAGTTTGGAAACCGGTCTCCCACTATTGTGTTATGATAACATTGTACATCTGTTTATATTGTAATGAGGGAGAATTAAACATTTATTATTATTATTATTATTATTATTTATGTATGTGGTTTTTTTTCTAAGTATTTACTACAAATAAAGGTTTGTGATCACACGTTTTCAACAACTTCTTAATTTATTTCAAGGTATCGTTTTGTAATATGTTCCCAAACACAACAGACACAGTACACAGAACCTACAGAAAATCTACTTCAACCCCAAAAGTATTTCCATAATGAATGCGCCAATTATTCAAACGACTGCGTTGTAGCAAATCGCAAATTAGGTCAACTATCTGAAAGCACACCCCTTCCTTCAGTCTCTAACATTCATTGTTATACCAATCCACTCTATTTGTAGGTACTTGAATATTCCTCGCAATCAAGATTGTTGAAAACAAGAGCGACGTACGACAACAAATTAGAATGTCACTCTAATGGAAAACCACATCACAAAGTGTGTCGCTTTATGTTTAATAGCTTCCAATATTTCAAAAACGTTGAGACATAGCAAAACTAATTGAAGATTAAATTATGTGTGTAATTTATAAACAAAATTTTTAATTTGCCAAATTTAACCTTTTATGGCAAATAAACAAACGAATCTATTCAGTTTTTTTTATTTCTTTTTATCAAATATGAGTTTTAAAGCACACTATATCAGCTGAAATTTGGAATCCGAAATAGACCACGAAATTACGATTTAATACAACATGGATTTTCCTTTTAGTATAATTTCTAGCCTAATTAATCATGGTCCGAATGCTGATTTTACAGTCTTGAGATTTATAAATTCTACAAACCTGCAAATCACAAAGCAAGAGATTAAGTACTGTATAATTACAGTTTTTTCAAATTTTGGGTAAAGATTTAGTTTATTTTATACTTTGAAGATAGATTGACAAATTCAATATGTCAAGGCGATAATATGTCAAGATAATGCACAATGTCTTATTTATAAACAAAACAGAGTAAACAAGAGTATACAATTATACCTTTAAACGACACAGAACGGAAAAGTGTTTTCCGTCTTTGTGGTTACTGAAACACAGTGCACTGCACAGCCACTCAAGAGGATCTATGCAAATGTGTACCTCTGTTAATTTCCAAGCACTAGACTACATTGTGTCACCACTCTAAGGGCTTTTCATTAGAGTGCACATTCAGTGGGGAAAATGCAATTTCCCTTGCGAGCGCGAATCGTTATTCTAGTGATGGGACAAATATAATCATTCATCAACATAATAAAAATTAATGTAAATGTAATTAAGTTATAAGAATTATGTGGATATTTTCAATTATTCTCTTGTTTCCTGACACGTTCGTTAATCAACTTTTGTAACGATCGCAATTTTCGTTCAATCGGTAAAAATGTTTGATTGCAATTTCTGTTTTTGTTTATCTATAGAATTATAAACAAAATGTATCAATGAAACGACATACGTGCCTATAATACAAATGCTTTTCAGAAATAAAAACTAACAGTTTTATGAATATTAAATGTAACTAATGTCTGAGGTTATGATATATTGAAATCGTAAGTCGACATTATTTTGTAAGATACGAAAGAATTTACTAGTCCAAATATTTAGCTTAGCCGCATATCTAAATGTATTCCCATCTATGGAGATCATCACTCTAAACCATCTAAGCTTACTAATAAATTTACCGATAAAATTGCACCGATATTACCTGTTTAAAAAAATTGTCTGCACTCAAGCTTCGGAAGGGGATAGCGCAAGAGCTTGCAAGCTTTTACGTATTCTTGTAATTTATTACGCCGCCTCTCTCCAGCATTTTTCACCGTGGTAATTTTAACGATTCGCCAATGATTGGTTGGAGCACATTTTTTGCTCTCAAATTCAATGGTCATTTATTAACCGAAATGCAGCACCGCAGAAATAAATGATGTGATGCATTTCAAAAAATGTGATTAAGGAACACCTTCATCGCTTATTTTATTTGGAAAAACGTTTATATTACGAATACTGCAAATGTTTATGTAATGATCAAATGAATTAATTATATAACATTATCTGTGTGCTGACGGACTATGAATACGGAGTGTCACCACCCTTGTTCATCCCGTGGGTGTGTTAAGAATCGACTAAGAGATCAAACTACGCAGGACATCAGCACTGCAAAGAGAAGAAAAACTTGAAAATTGTAAATTACTTCTGGGAGAAAATAAAGCTGTCATTATTATTATTAAATATAGTATAGTATCAATTTGAATATCAGATTGGCTATTTAAACCAATCTGGTCTTCAAATTGATAGATAGATAGACAACAATTCTGAACAGATTTTCATCAATAAACTTCACATAAAAATATTTAATGCAAACAACGTAATATTTCGGCATCCCATTTTACACAGTGTGTTTATGAGACACAGGAAACCAAATAACATTTATAAGAGAATAACCTAATCCGTCTATGTCTCGGGTCTCGTAAATATTTAGCAACGAAAATGTACAAATAGCAGGATTTACAAAAAAACTAATTGAAATGTAAGTATATTTAAACGCCCCAGTAGCATCACTTCATGAAAGATATTTTCATCAATAACATACCTCAGATCAGTCTTAAAACTGATATCTTAAAAGTATAGTGGAAAGAAATTCTAGTCAGAGTGTAGTAGTAGTAGTAGTAGTGTAGTGTAGTAGTAGTCAGAGTGTGTAGTTATACCTGTAGATGATCTCATTTTATTTCCAAAAGAACGGAAACTTGTCAAAGTAAGTCACTTCCAATGACGCAGAAAGTAGAAAACCTTGTTCAAACAATGAAGTTCATGAAATAGAAGTTATGAAACCCGAGAGCCAGGCAGAATATCAATCAAACATTAAGAAATCGAAGTTAGATGTAGTAAGTTCATAATTAGTTTTTCTTTTAAAACCACCTCACCTTTATTTTCAGTTGTTAGGTACGACAATAATAAAAATGTAATCCCACGTCGAGTCTCAGATACATTAAAGGTAAGTAATAAAGAGCATAAGCCTGATAAATTGACGTCATTTGGTTAGATAATTTTTTCGGCGCGCCGTCTTCTCGGAATAGTAAAGGTTGCTACTTCATTGAATAGGTAATAGTTGTAAATGGGACGTGTCTAAGTGGACAAATACCCGTTTGTATATAAGAATTGTAATCCTGTTATACGATTGTTGTAAAAGAATCATTTACATAATTTATTCACGTGGGTACATTTTGTTATTTTTTTGTGTAATCCTTTTGAATAAAATTATCAAAGCGTACGGTGGCCGGCTAACGAGATACTGTGTCTAATTTTATTCCAGTGGTCCAGAGTATGAAATTCTATCCTAATTTTTTTAATTATTAATAGGTACAAAAAAAAATACCAACTCTTTTGGAAGTAAAAATTATAGATGATATAAACTTAAATCAAATACCGAACTTTTTTATACCCCATATGAAAAGTCAACCTTTACGTGTTTATGCATGTTTAAAAATAAAAAAGAATCGAATTATAATAGGTCCGACTTGGAGGTATTACATATTCTTTAAAAAGGTCTCTTTTTGAAGACAATAAATTAATTCTCAAATCTACTATCTAATATATGTTCATCATTCGTGTATCATATATTCGTGGAGATATATGTTAATCTACAGTTACTGTTAAGTACTTACGCGCTTATAACGTGCATATGTTGTATAGCTGCGGAAGGCCTGGACAGCCGCCGGGAGGGAGGTAGCGGCGCATGTGGAGGACCGCCTGGTGGACCGTACAACACTGGCTGTAGCGATAATGAACCGCCTAAGGACATCGATGGTGGACTTGATAATCTGAGTACAAGAAACATAATATTTAAAGATAAATGTATAATAATTATATTACTTAACTAAGTAGTACTAGACTGCACATTTCCTAAATAGCCATCATCACCAACGGCCTTTAGTAGTCTACTGCTAGACAAAGGCCTGTCCTTAGAAAGCCATAGATATATTTAAACACAAGTAAAGGCATATAATATACCTTCATTATAGTAAAAAAAATTGAATTTTTAGGACTTATACAAAATAGCTACCGTGCCCTGCTAAGACGCGCTTAGCGAAGCACAAGGTCACTACCTACATTTTCTAATTTATACATATATATTTACGTAACTATATCAAATAAATCTGCATAATTCTTGCCATTACTGTTGTTACTGCATTAAATAAACTGTTCTTTCCTAAAAGGCACATGATGATATAGAAGACCTATTTCTTAGCGTGCCATGGATTCACCGTGCGGGTGCCACGTACATCGCTTGATAGATGGGGATGGGATGGTAACACATGCGACTACGACAGCGCCTGAGAATTGTGACCCAGGAATAGGTTTAGGGAGTACTCCTTGCGACGCGTCAGCGCTCACCTCCACTGTCTGCTGTGTTGCCTAATCATACTTGATACGAGACTAGCAATACCGCTTTGGATATTGTATAAGAACATTGCCAAGAGCTTACTGAAGCTCTTGGCAATCTAAGGTCTTTGAGTAGTTAATGCGGATTCAGCTGGTATACCCCTCGCACCCACTTCCACGGCATACAACACAACGACATAACCATTTTTAGTTATTTCGTTGGTTAAGTCAAAGTACTTGTTTCTGTTTAAAGCGTTGTTTCCCACGGCACCGTGAGTTCTACTAGTACTACACGCTTAATTGACATTGCATAAAGAAATATGTCTGGTCTAGACGCCGAGGCACAAATATCCTACGGTATTTTTTTATTCCATCTTTTTTCGATATCTTGTTTTCCCTTCATTGTCTTTTTACCTCTTAGTCTTTAAAACTTACATACTGGCACACATCAAAACAATGTTGTGTATGTATAGGCAATGATGCCATTATTATCTGTTGATTAAAAAAGAGTGGCCGTGAGTTTGTTTGTCCTTTCTTCTGTTCGTTCTGTTCTTCTGTTTGTCGTTCCATGAGGCTCAACCCCTTGGAAATGGGCGGTTGTAGATCGTATTGAAAATCTCTTAAAATCGAAAATCTCTCGTATATATATTTAGTTTGCTAAATATTTTAAACAGAGATTGTTGCTATTATGTGTGTTGATCTATGACTTTGGAGTCTAGACAAGAGACGATTTCAAATAATTTTAATTTTTTAATGAAATAAAGATGTTTGAGTTTATTCTGTACTGATTTTCATACGTGTTCACTAATAATGTCCAGTCACTGGTGTTATTTATAACTGTTAGTTCCTATGTTTGTTGTTATTCGCATAGGATTTGTATCATCAATGCCCTATCATGGCGAGGTGAACCCCAGTCTAATAAAGCCTTACAACCTGTCAGTAAGTTCCTGGCTGTACCTATTGCCGCACTGCACATCGTACAAGCCTTTTCTGTAACTTTTACCCACGTGTTAATTGAAAGCCGTTGAGGTAAAATTTTAATATAAAATGAATGGTTAACTAGTCTAGGTCTTCTAGACTAGTTAACCATTCATTCTGCATTTCTGGGTTTATTGCGTGCACCTTCTAAGTCTCGTTTTCATCTTGTTGTAGAAAAGATTTAGTTATCTCTTCTTCGGTCTGTCTTCTAGCATTTCCCAATCCAACTCTACTGGACTGTATACCCACCATGAATTTCTTGTGGAATTGAAGCCGTGACTCGACCTCTGATGATTTTTTGTCTCTTGGAAGGGTCTAACGATTTCGTCTTGTCATTTTGACAAGACATGCATTTCGATAACTCTCAGGTGTTATTGGAGTTATTTTCTTGTATATCTGGTACCTCGCCGACCCCGAAAAAGGCTAGGTAAGGTCCTTATTCCTTGCCGTCCAGGTACAGAGGTCACCCACCTTACGCAGTAGTTCTTGGCACTGCTTCGGTTTATGTGTGAGGATCGCAAGATCGTCTGCGAGTACTAAGATGGATTCCGAATATTTTCCATGTTGCGTCCATCTCTTTTCGTATGCGATATTATTTATTAATATATTTATAACTTTATTAAATACTGGTGATAAGCTGCAACCTTGCAACAACCCTATTCTGTATGCGAGGGGTTTTGTATGTCCCTCATAAAGTTAAATAAATTATGTTATATTTGAAAACTCTTTAATAGTTTTTGCTTGTGCAAAACAAAAAAATATTCATCATAGAACTTTTTAACTCTACTTAAAGTCGGCCAAGGCAGGCTTAAAGATAAAACTACACATTTAAGTATATACGGCTTAGTCCGTTAAAGACGACAGCAAACTACCACAACTCCGTAAATCTTTGACAGAAGGAGAAGATTACTTATGCGAGTAAAACTTATGAGTGCAGCAAAATAAATTATCCACCGTACTTAATCAAACACCTCTTATTTCTGAAATATATTTTCTAATTATTTACTTTATTTTATAGATTTAAGTTTTTTTTTGGATTTACCAAACTGCTTAAAATGTTACAATAACCTTGAGATACGTTTTTATTGAAGAGGACAAAAATAAGTAACAGATTTATATAGGTACTCGTAGACTAAAAATGAAAAATAAACACAGCTCGCTTCATCATAATCATCAGCCCATCGCAGTCCACTACTGTACATAGGCCTCTCCCATTGCACGCCACTTCCATCGATGTCGGGCTTCTCGCATCCAGCTCCTGCCAGCCATTTTGCGCAAATCGTCACTCCACCTGGCCTGTGGGTGTCCTACACTAAGTTTGCCGAGACGCCGTCTCCACACAAGAACTCGCTTTCCCCAACGGTTGTCTCAGATATACTTATAAATATCAAGCGATCTTGATTTTCCTAGAAAAGACAACTATAAACGATATATCCAACTGTCTGTATTTATACAGATCAATGCGTTATTTAAAACATTAAAGCAGTTTATTTTTCTTAAGGTAAAATATGTCCAGAAATTCGTGACAATACCTCTACTTGGCAGTTATCAAAGTGATCTCCTTTTCATTATGTAAAAAAATAATGTGTTGCCTGCACTTTAGATCTTATAAGCAAAATGGATGTCACTCAGGCGGTTTTAACTAAAAGTATTTATTTTACGCAACTGAGCTGCTTTTAAAATATGGTTGCTTCACAAAATGTTACAATTTCATTGTTACTATAAATGAACACAACACCGGGAAGTAAAATTAAAAATAAAGTATCATAAAAGCTTTAACATTTACAACATTGCACACAGAACGTTTTAATTTAAAGCACGGCGTAGGAGACACGAACGTTTAAAACCATTACTTTGAGTACCACTACAGAGTTTTTGAGGATTTTTAAGTTCTTATTCCATGTTGACAGTTGATTTTTTGTAATTATTGTAATGTTGTTGTAATTATTAATTGCCGTAATGTCGTAATTGGCATGTAACATTTTACGGAGATTAGAAATTTGCTGTTAAGTTAGTAAAGTGTTGACGGATGGAAACTGCATTTTTAAATTATTATATTAGGTACTCTTTTTGTTGATAATCAAATAGTAAATTGATAAAACTTATAGAATGTGATCAGACACAGTGGTAACATTACAGTAGTCGAATTGTATAAGTAATTATTTTCTTCAAGAAATATTACTTTATAAAAATTTAATGACAGATTTATAGGAAAGTCTACCTAAAGATTAACCAACAAGAATTATTAATTGTTTAAATGTTTGCATTTGTAAATATATATTTTGTTTTGTTACATTAAATATAACAAATACAATAATTGAAGTCATTGTATCGTAAAATAGCTTAGGTAAGCATAGATTATTTGTATTCATTAACATCTCCAATGAATATGAATTACACAGGTAGTGCTATGTAACGTTATGAAGAAATTGATCGCGTTTAACGTTTACTACTAAAGTTTCATAATTATATATTGGCGCTATTTATAACTATGTAATTCAGAGTGTGGGTTGAAATTCAGAGTAAGAGGCGAAAATAGACTTGCTTACACTGTTTACTTGCTCTGCTATTGAGGTATATTCCATGAAATTAAATTCAGTGTTGTATTTATTTGATGTTTTATAAACCTAAGACGAACTGATTTATTTATAGATAAAATAAAACCAGCGAGACTTTTCTACAGAAAAATACTCCTATCGCAGCACTGAAATGATCTGAACGTACGGAAAAAAGTCGTATCTTCATTGATTGCTTTATAGAAAAATTATTAGATCTATTTATTGACTGAAACTAAAATTACACACAAGAACAGGCGCTTCTGCGAGGATTGCAAGTTCCCTGTCGGTCGTTGCCGAAATACACAGTTGATTTGAGTAAATCCATCTATCCTTAATAGACGCAATATTATCATATCCCATCAATATTCCTTAACGTTTAAAAAAAACATCCTGCTTGACCAATGAGGTTTACTCTCCGTATAACTCAACAGTCATTATATTAAATTTATGAAAGTTTCAGAGTTGCATATACGTAAAACGATAAAATGATGCAAATGATAAACTTACTTGCCATATTACGACCACAATCAGTATCACTTACAACTTTTTTTTTTGTTTCCAATTCCCCATTTTCTTAGATGGTAAAAATAACATCGTTTTTAGACATAACTTTATAAGACATGTAACAATGAAAACCGGAAAAGTGTGTGTCGATGAAGGGTTCTCGTAGTACTTACATTTGAAACAAGTAAAACCTTGATTTAAGTGATCGTTTGCTAAGAATTTTGTATGAAGGAACTAAGCAGAGCTAGCATAGCCCTAACATATTCGGCTTGGCTAATATTATTTTATACCCACCCAATTATTAAAAAAGAAGTATATCTGTATTTCCGGACACGATATCCAAACCCAGAAAAAAAAGCGTATTCCTACATCAAAGATTGGCAACGTACTAGTTGGGACTCCTGATTTGCAGGTCTACAATGAGAGCAGTACTCACTTAACATCAGACCCGTCTACTTGCGTTGCTGTCCGTGTTCGTGACCAAATAGAGTAAACTATACAATGATGGGCGCTTTAAGGATTCTTTGATCAGTCATTGACACCAACTTTTAATTACCTACTATTTCTTTTCATAAATATATAAATAATCAGGCAGAATACCTTCCCGATGGTCAGATGACATTGTGACGGCGGTAGGAGAGCAATGGAACCGGCTGGCACAAAACCACCAGGAGTGGCGTGATAGAGAAGAGGCTTTAACCCAGCAGTGGGTGCAACAGACTGCTTAAATAGATAGGTAAATAATCATGACTGAACAAGTTTAAGAAAAGTTACTTAGTATAAACATTAACAAAAAAAAATGATTTACTTAGCTTATTATCTGTAGGTATATTTAAAAATCAAAAACTTACAAGTTATATACTTCAATGTTTTTACACATCAATCCTCAATATTATTGTTTAAAATTAAGAGTGCCAACAATACAGCAGTACAGATTACCCTAATAGCAGTCACAGTTTGACGTGAAAGTAATTTGTCAGCATCACATTGTTTCATTATAAAACCTAACCGACAAGGGTTGTACTTGTATGTTTTATTACATAACGTATATTGAATTACAGACTACATTTGATCCGAGGGTAGCTGTTATGTTTTCTTGTCAGCCTCATTAAAGTGTCAAATGGTGTAAAGAGGCTTTTCGTTCCTTTACAGTGTGTGGTCACGTAAAAGTACACCGTTGATTACCAAAGCCAGCAAAATTTACACTTCGCAATGTAGGATGAATTTTCAATGGAATTTTTATATTCAAGGTAATCGCCGTCGAATTTAAATATATATTATATTTCGTTGTTGTTATAAGACCTACTATTTTAGTTTAGGTACAGTATAACGGAATATTTCAACAACTATATTGTAGAACATACCTATTTGTTCTATTTTGTTAACGCACGCACACCATATTTACACTTGGACGAAATTATATTTTTAAAAAATTTTTGATTCTCTATATACAAAGACGTAAACAAAGAGGAAAAGAAAATGTGCTGTAGCGGATCGTTACAACAACGTTAATCCATTTCAACGCGATCTAGGGCAGAATGATGAATTATACATTATATTGATAGTCCATCACGCAATGAGAGTAAGTCAATGAATATGTAAGAAAATAACTGTTAAATCTTAGTATTTATAAGTTCAGGAGGAAGTTGCAGTTTTTCTAAGTGGGTAAACCACTAAGACAATCTGCAAATATCAGAACTAAACTACAATGTCATCAGATAATTAGTACTGTACGATCCGTGTGGTTACGGATTAAAAATACCGAGTGTCACCACCACTATTCATCCCGTGGGTGTCGTAAGAGCCGACTAAGGGCGCAAAACAACGCAGGTCACCAGCACTGCAAAAAGAAGGAAACCCTCCTTTCTAAGGAGAGGCCTATGCCCAGCAGTGGACTATTAAAGGCTGATGATGTGATGTGATGTATATATATACATACTAATATATACATATATACTTGTCATACTTATTACACATACATGACGATCTTGAATTATTAGTTCCCGAACAGCATCAATATTTTGAGGTACAACAACCGATTTAGGGCAACCTTCTTTAAATTCGTCCGTGCAAATGACAGCTACATCAAACAAATTGTATTCTTCAGCCAAGGAGTTACATTTTTAACTGATATAATTACTTTTTTCATATTGTTCTGGCTAAGAGAGTAAACTATGCAGGATAACAGCATTGCAAAGAGAAGGAAAACTTGCAACCAATCCTATACCAACCCGTCTGGCCAGCGTGGTATAGTAGGCCAAAACCTTTCTAAAAAGAGGCCTATGTCCAGCAGTGGACAAGTAAAGGCTGTTGATGAATTAGATGTAGATGAATTAGTATTGTGTGTGTGTTGATCTATGACTTTGGAGTCTACATAAAAGAGGATTTCAAACAATTAAAAAAAAAAAGAGAGTTTGGGTTTACTGCTAACGTAAAGTGCTGTCAGAACAACCCTGTCGCGTTTTGCAGGTATATATAATTTAAACTAGCAAAAGTAATAAAATAGATTACACATAGTTAGTTTTTTTGTTTTTTTTTTTTTTAATATTAGATTAGATTTTGCAACCACTTCATCCTAACCACAACACTACCGCCACATATTTTTTTTATGCATTGCACGTAATACTAGAACCGAAATATATATCACAACAGAACTTCGTGGACTCGACAACTAAGTGTGACTCGTCTGAACGTGTCGCAATCCAATTAATTACACTTTGCGAAGTAAGTTCTCGCTGCGTGTGGTTTCTAACTAAGAACTATTAAGCTTTACGAGTTCTATACGTGAGAAGATTTGAGGCGAATACACAGCGATGTGTCACTTTTAATGTCTTAATAGTTCTTCAGGCACCGAACTGCTAGGGCAATATTTCGGACAGGAAGATTTATAAAGCACACAGCCATGTTCAGCTGAGATGACTGCTGTAACATGCTGCATGGTAATTGACTACCACCATATATGGATATCAGCAACTCAAGAGTCACAAGAGGGTAGCCAACTTTTGAGTGTCCTCCCCTCCCCCCTTTTTTTCCGTGCGGAAATCCCCTCGGATACCACCTATCGGTGGCATGTCGGACTCGAACCGACTAAAACCGCACGCCGTCTCGGGTACTAATAGCCGGGGAACTAGGTATACCCTAGAAAGGTCCTCCCCCCGCCCCTCTTAAAATTAGAAAAGGGAAGATTGGGCCCCCGGTAGCGTCCAGAGGTATTCCTAAACCTTCTGTTACAATTTAGGGCTTTCAGTAAGTAGTTACATTGTGCTTCAATACCTCAAAGGTGATTCCAAGTGCACTCGATGCGATGAACATGATGGTGCCGGCTGTTGGTGTGATGGGTGTGGCGGTAAAGGAGGAGGACTGCTGTGTCGACTTAAGGTTTCAGGCGACACCAAAGCTGCCCCCGCAGATGCTGGACTCGGTAATGGAGGAGCACTTCCACCAGATATTTCGGAGTCCGCACCGCCAAATGTTGCTCGGGACACGTGTGAACCTCCCGACATGTTGTTCGCCGGGATCGAGTAACAACTGCAACAAAGAAAATAATGACATTAGAAATTAATCCTTAAATTAGTCAATCCTTGCATTGGCTTAGTTTTTTGAAACATTAAGGGGTCACTATACATTTAAATACACTTGTTCTTCATAAAGAGTTAAGCAAGTGATAGAAGTTCTTTACATACTATAAAGTCCGGGCTGATAATATCAGATTTATAAGTCTTTGGATAAAATGTTGAGTCTTTTTGCTATTTTTGTTTAGGTCTTATCATAAGAGGTTCATACTTGACTTCACTAGATATTATGAAACAAACCCAAAATACGAAAGCGTTAAAATGTTAAATGAAAAGCGAATAAAATATAGGGACAAATTAAATAAATTCTCATAGAATGGTAGCAATCCTTCAGACAGTGTTGGCTGTATTACCTGAAAATTTAACGCAAAAATGTGATCGAGTAACAAAACCCACCTTTAGCATTCCCATTCATAACGAAAGGAAAGTAATACTCGTATAAACTGCACGGATGACATAGTGGTTTAAGCGTTCACCTCGCTCCGGTTCCTACTGCGCTATGTGTTGTGGGTTCGATCCCTACGTAAGACAGCAGTTTGTGTGAACTACAAATTGATATTCTGAGTCTGGGTGTTCTTTGTGTACTTTTCAAGTAGGTACGTTTGTAAAGTCTTCCGCGACACAAGATATATTCCTAGTTCGGGAGTTGTCTTTTAAATTAAAAAATGTAGCTGTAAGTACAAAGAAAAAAATGAAAAAGCTAATAGTAACTCATTTACTTCCTTACCATTAATGCACGAAGCATTAACGCTAAGAGTTATACAAATAAAATATGTAATAAAAATACTGTATACTAATTTCCGTGTGGTGACGGATTAAGAATACAGAGTGTCACCACCCCTATTCATCCCGTAGGTGTCGTAAGAGCCTATTAAGGGAAAAAAACTAAGCAGGACAACAGCACTGCAGAGAGAAGGAAAACTTGACACAAACCCTTTACCAGCCCGTCTGGCCAGCGTGGTATAGTAGGCCAAAACCTACTTTCTCAGGAGAGGCTTACGTCCAGCAGTGGACTATTAAAGGCTGTTGATGATACTAATTTCTTAACACATAATACATATTACAACAATAGTGCAGAAAGGACGACTATAAACATTTAAAAAGTTTGTCAGGAGCCTTGTGAAAGTTGACGTCGGCTCCTAGAGTAGCTGGCTTTAATTAAAGACGCTTCCTGACAACATTAATTAAAAACAAACTTTTGGTCCCAACGCCGGTGTTTAATACACCAGATTTACATGCAGAACAGCCCAAGCTGTTTTGTAAAGAGACAAACACGCCTATATATTCGAAAAGGTAAGAGCCATATTAAACGCCCACACTTTGCCAACTATAATTTTAGACAAACTTTTGTAATAAAAACTTAAGCAGTATGCCATCAATCGGGTGCTTTAAAAAGAAGATAAGGAGGGAATGGTAGGTAGTAATATTGCTAGCTATAGTTTGGGAACTGTAGGATGTAATTGTTACTCGAATTCCCTAAAATTCCGAGACGTCTAACCGAATATACTCGTAATAGGGCTTGGCTCTGGTATTTCTTCATTCAAATATGTTTCCTCAGAAACAATGTTCACCGTTTACAATAAAATTCAGTGAAAAAGTACAACTAAAAAAAAGTAGAAAGTAGCTAAAAATAAGTTAATACCTCATATTTTACAACGCCCATTTCTCCTAACCATATCTACCTATTTAAGTGCTCGTCGGAACGGTTTGAATTAAAATTTACATAATGAATTTTAGTTGAAAAATCATCCATGTTTTCCGAATATGTAAAGTACCACTAAGCACCTCAGCATTTTCATGCTTACGTCAGCCAAAAAATCCAACAGATTCATCATCATCTCACATCAGGAAACACTCGAATTTGTAACGAAAAATGAAGCATTATTGATAGGTCTGCCTTCGCAATTTTATAAGCATCACAATGACGATGCAATTTGGCAGATATAAAAAGTTTTTCTGTGCGATGCGATTCATTGCATCGGAAAGAATTATTACCATAAACTTCGGAACACCTAAATTTATGTGTCTTCCTCAGATATAAATGTTCGGATGTAAATGTTGATGATAAAATCGTTCCAAATTTTTAGAAACTATGAAGAACTAGAACTTTTATGGTTGCGAAGTTAAAACAAAAAAGTGAATTCCAAAAACATGAATTTCATTACTTGAAAAGATACTTCATCGTCGAAACATCACCCTTACCTTTCTTGACTTACTCCTCAAATAATATGCAATCTCCGACTACAGTTTTTTGAGTGGCTCATTTCCATCGGATCTAAATAGATATGGAAAAAAGGTCGACAAATAATCTTAATTGGAATAAACCCTTTTTAAAAAAAAGTTGAACCGACTTCAAAAAACACCGACAAAGAGCACTAAAAATTAAAAAATAATTACAAATCTGAGTAAAAAAACTATAATAAGTACCTACCCTCAATGTCACAGGTAACATTATAATACCAATAGTCCCTTCTAGTCTGTTTGAAGTCGGTGCCAAGCCAAATAGGTGCTTGATAGGCATGGTAGAATGTAGCGCGGCAGCTGCAACAGTCTTCATGCTGCGCAAAACATGATGAACGAGCTAAAGTGGACGCACATCTCCAATTATATTATTATTTTGAATTCTTTAATAAGTAGTTGATAAGTTTGCGCACGTAATTGATCTGGTTGGTCTTTATTAATTAACAAAATCTTCGATGTTTCATTAGAATTATTTTGAATTCTTAATTTTTCATTGTGCTAATATAAAGCTGACATAGACCAGTATTACTTATTGTGCATCGAGCTTGGCACCGACTTCAAACAGACTAGAAGGGACTATTGGTATTATAATGTTACCTGTGACATTGAGGGTACTTATTATAGTTTTTTTACTCAGATTTGTAATTATTTTTTAATTTTTAGTGCTCTTTGTCGGTGTTTTTTGAAGTCGGTTCAACTTTTTTTTTAAAAAGGGTTTATTTTACCATTTTTAGTGTAGGATATGAAAATGACATTGGCGTCCAAACTGATCAAGATCAGCTTAAATTCTTTTCTAAGAAACAGTCAAATTCTTGTGAGTTGCAACCGAACAAAATAACTTCCGATTCAATTGACACTGATCTCGAAGGTGAAGATAGGGAAGCTTTAGTGAGACTACTCAACAAATATGCTCAATATTTTATAGAAGGAGTTCCAACTAGAAGGGTTAATACTAGTATGTTAGAAATAACCTAGTTGACCCACCCAAAATTTAAGAGTTTTTTCCAGAACTATTTTAATAAATTAAGTATAAAATTACTTACAAACGAAATGCGATGCCATCCATAGCAACAAAACGTCTATCCGAATTATTTTAACAAGATAGAATACAAAATTTCAACCTTTTCTTCTTAATACAACGAAAATTACTGTGATGACATAAATACTGCAAGTTCTCTGCGCATCACATCGCGCAGTCTCTGACAGTTGCAATGGTTTGTTTGGCTAAAGAAATACTCGTAGCTAAAACACGTTGTCGGGGCTGTCAAATTCCCAATAATTGTGAGGGTTTCACTCGATTTCTCTAGGATCCCATTATCAGATCCTGAATTGGTGGTAATGGGACCAATTCGGGATATACCCTTTCGATTACAAAAAGAATTTTGAAAATCGGTCCACAATTGACGAAGAAATCGCGTAACAAACATACATAAAAAAAAAATACAGACGAATTGAGAACCTCCTCTTTTGTGTTTTGGAAGTCGGTTAAAAAGAAAACATACTGTCGAATCAAAAACCCTCCTTTTTTGATGTTGGTTAAAAATCGACTAGCATGAAGCTCCTAGTCGAGACGAATCAAATGAGCACAAACACGGCGGAATTGCTTTATTTTATTACAGAGTTCCCATGGCTATTTACCGTCTCCATCATCAGACCCTGAATATCACATAGGATCGGAGTCCTTATTAATTAGACTCAAACACATTCAAATTCGATGGTATTACATAATTTTGTTACAGAGATCCCATACTCCTAAACCATTCATCATCAGCAACATCAGATGGTGACCATTAGATGCAAAAATCTACATAGATTAAGATAATTTCTGATAAACAGTGTATATGCCTACAAAATTTGAGGGTATCCCTCGATTTCCCCAGGATCCCATCATCAGATCCTGACCTGGTGACAATGGGACCACCTCTGACGTATGACCTACCAAATAAAAAAAGAATTATTCAAATCGGTTTATAATTGCCGGAGTAATCGCGTAACAAATATACAAAAAAAAAAAAAAAAAAAAAAAAATACAGTCGAATTGAGAACCTCCTCCTTTTTTTGAAGTCGGTTAAAAACTAGGCCTTTCACACAATACTGCCCTATTTCTATTTACATTCATTTTAATCTATTATTCGACAGGTAAGGAGCATAGTATTGTTACCGCATCTTTTAAGTTCACTAATGATAATAGGATTAGGATGGCCATGGAAAATTTCTTTCTAATTTCACTCCTAGACATTAGCAATGATTTCAAAAACTAAGCTATTGTGGTTTTCTTGGCCTAAGCTCTAACTTTTTTTTTAGTTATGAGCAGACGGGTCACGTGATGGAAAGTGACTACCGCCGCCTATGAACGCCTGCAACTCATGAGTCACAAACGCGTTGCCGGCTTTTTAGGAAAGAGTATACTCTTTTCTTAAAGGAGGGAGGGCAATTCTGCCTCAATCTGTTCACCGAGCTTCTTTGAAGCCAATTTGACCTCTAAGGGACCCCAAAACTGGGGTCTTTATGTCGATGCCTAGGATGCCGAAACTGGCTGAGGCAGTTAGGGAAGTGCTCTCAAACCGAGGTGATACGACAAACGGTATCTTCTTTGTGGCGAATCAGTTTTTGCATGGACGAAACTATAAAACATAATGCAGTTAGAGAAATTTGTGAAGTAACTGATATTGAAAGCATAGATTAATGTGCTTTAGACATTTACATAATGTCGTATGGTGACTGAGAACTTAGAGAACTTCCTAGACGTTCATTCCCTCTTCGTACTGCAGTTGGAGCTATCCGAGCAATTTATCAACTGATTTTATTTTTAATATAAATAATTGTTTAGTTTGATGAATGTTACTGTTATAATCTACTTTAAAAAAGGTGCCGTTCATCGAAATTCGAAACGCGAAACAATCTAACTGGTAAAACAAACATATATTTGAAAAGTCAAATGCAAAGTTAAACCCATGTTTAAATATTCATAACACCAAACACATTTGGCATAATACCGGCATTCGGAAACATACGCACTCATATACCTGCTGCATTTTAAATGTACTCGTAACATAACTTACAATAATACATAATATTTGCGAACGGACGCTGCGATGGCGATACGTGACGAGAATACACACAGAGAAAAGAGAAAATATTTATTATAATTTTGATCAAGCAATTATATAGGTTAAAGCAAAGTGAAATCCGTTGATATAAATACTAATTCACTGCATTATATTATAGTTATTTTTAGTATAAACAGTAAGTATTGGTAATTATTTCAGCACCACTGAAACTTATGTAAGGGTAATAATCTACTTGTTTAGGTACAATGGAGAGTGCGATATAACATTACTCCCCGTACACAAACAAGTTTCCATTTTCAGTACAAGATAGGTATCTCGCTCTCTCATAATCATTACCTCGCAGTCATCTCACTTGTCACCTTACAACCATTAAAACAAGTCACTTGCATTAAACAACTTAAGAGTAGTTTCTGAGGTAAAATTGTTTGGACATCATCTCCTACAAAAATCGATTGTTTTCTTATATGAAAGTTAAATCCTTTCGTCTTAATAACTTGATAGAGAGGACTTTTTGCGAAGTGGCATAACATAAATTTATTAAACCTTTCCACAAACGCCTCATTCCTCTAGTTCGGAAGGTGCCACAAATCGAATAACTGTCAGTCGCCGACGTCAGATGGGCGCCAGGCGTACATTTCCGCATCAAATATGGCCGCTTTCGATTTCCTGTCCCGTCTCTCCCGTAAACGGTTTACCTCGGATTACATACAACGTTTATTTTAATCATACTAACGTTCAACTCTTGTGCAGTGCCTGGACTGCGTTCGAACGTTGATCTGGATCATTTCAAACCACAGATACAATGGGTATAAATCAAATAAATCCGTTCTGTTTGAAATGTACATGGTAGCATCTGGTATTTCGCAAAAATAGCTTCGCTTTTAATCAGTCTGGATTAACAATTATGTTTATGTTATTGCTTTCCAATAATTCTTAAAAAGAAAGCCTTTTCATTGAATATTATGTGGTTTAGTTAGCTTTATTTGACGCTCAATTGCAAAATAATTAGTCTTCGTTATTCTTAATAACAAGAATCTTAAAAAAATATTTTGTAATAATCTTTTTGTTATTTAACTAAAAGCTATAGATGAACACATGTCACCTCAACTATGTGTTTTTTAATAAAATTGTCACAACACTAAATAAGATAAACATGAAGTAAAAGAAACAAAGAAACAAAAAAACATATGCATTGCGAAACATAATAGCTCACTAAGATATAACCTATATAAACATATTAACTTGCTAATTAAAGCAACGTTTAGTTGATAATATAAAACATCTATGTTCATACCTTGAAGTCACAGATCATGTAACCTATTTTCAATTTAAAATAGGGCAAAATGCTCTGTCACGTCGAGCAGTAAATAATTTAACACTACTAAAAATTAATTAAAATCTACTTAAAAATACTTATTTGTACTGAAGGCGAGTAGATTGAAAACCATTACAAAGCCTGCAGAATTGTAGCTTTAATAAAATTCTATTTTGAGTCTATTTTGATGAGTATATTTTACATGTCACCTGTGCGATCTCTATATACAATAATTCATTATAAGCTTATCATCCAACATGCTTAATATTATATCAGAGTAAGCCTTAGGAACCATAATAGATCGTAAAGGACAACCATCCTTTACGATCTATTTATGAAGTTTGGTATCTGTATGAGTCTCCTGCTGGTATGCTGCTGCTCATACAGCTAAAAGAATATGCCTGGCCTGTTGGTCTAGTGGTTAATGACCCTGACTGCTACGCCAGAGGTCGTATTCGTCGTCGGTTCGATTCCCACCCAGGACAAATAATTGTGTGATGAGCACGGTCATTTGTTCTGAGTCTGGGTGTTCCACATTTATACCGTTGAACTAAAAAAGTATAATTTATTCAGATGTTTTAGTCATAAAAATCACGCTAGTTTTGCATTGATATGATAAACACCAAACTAAATAATGTTAAGATAGTCTTAACGCACCAGACTTCTTTTACAGACGCTAATAGTTATCAAATTGGTACTGAAGGAAAACATTTGAAGATTATTTTTCCTTTTCTGTATTATGTAAAATTTAGCGAAACATGGCCAAGCAGTATGAAGTTTTTATGACGGTTTAAAATAAGTATGTTGTAACCTTATTTTAAGAACAATTACTTTATTAACCTTCGATTTAGCATAAAAAGCCTAAAGGAAGTAGCCTAAATTTCGCTTTAAGTGATTGCCATAAGAACAAATAATTTGGAATAAAATCAAATAATTAAAACAGACATGCATTCATTGACCAAACAGGGGCCCAGACTAACTCTATTTATCGAGTTCGTAAAACAACGATGCGTGAGAGGGCAAACTTAACTTACTCATCATTTCACGGCGATTATGATTGATGATAACACATATCGTCTATAAAATACCCTCCACAATCTTTTCGATAGCTATACGTCAAAATAAATGTGGCTCTATCTAAACAAACTTTCCCTTAACCTTAAAAGATGCTCTTTTCAACTTTTCTCCTTTGAAGTTTGTATACACAATAAACTATTTACGGCGCACTTTATCTTAAATAATTACCATTACACAACATCTGCAAAAAAATATTGTTTGTTTGTTTATTCTGCTTTGACGTCTTAAAAATCCACCAATCATGTAGAAATTTTACAGATAACATAACAACATACCGTGTGTCACTCTCCAAATAAAAAAAACCTTTTCCAAGAGATATCTGTCTTGATTAACAAAATTTAGATTCACACAAATGCAGCCATGGAGACTAGATAAGTATTGCAAACTATATTTTCCTTTGTGAATGAATTCTCTAATACCAATTTCTAAACTAAACTCTAATCTCAACTCTATCCCATTTAACACAGGAATATTCATAACTATTTGGGCTAGCGACAGTTAAGTGGTAATTTTCAATCGTAGTCACGACACTGTCTAGTATCAGCAAAAAGCTAATATTATAAAAACGTCCCCCGTCTTTACATAAAAGTGTTAGCTTAAGGAATTGTTTGATATTCTTTTCTAGTAGAATATTAAACCATTTTTTTTACATTGACACATTAGGTATTTCTAGTTTATTTTAAACTAATTGTTTTGCGCAGACCGTAACCTAAAAGTATTTTTATGTGTACCTTCACCATCAACAGCCTTTAATAGTCCACTGCTGGACATAAGCCTCTCATAAGAAGGTTTGTACCTTAGAAACGTACTTTTTATGGATGCAAAAATTTCATTTGACGAACAATTTATATATTATAATCTAATGCAATATAAAAACTTTTATACATTCCTAATGCTCAAATTTATACCGACAGAATTGAATTCCTCTTCAATTCTTCAATTTTAACTTTATTGTGATATCATCATATATAGTGACGATTTACGCAAGATGGCTGGTTGGAGCGGGATGCGAGAAGCCCAAAATCGATCTAAGTGGCGTGCAATGGGAGAGGCCTATGTCCAGCTGTGGACTGCGATAGGCTGATGGTGATGATGATGATGATATCATCTACTAGAAATAACGTAAGGAATATACCTAACCATTGTATGGTAACCTAAGATATCCTTGCCATGATAATAAAATAAAAAAGGAACCCTTACAAGTGACTACAATACAGTTTACAAGACAAACTAATAACTTTGTCTCTCAATACTGAGTGAAACAGACTCAAATTAGCTTTAACCTCTTTTTTTTAAACGTTAGCCTATAATAGTTCAATGAACCATATACACAACACCACGCACCACGCAATCGATGAATGACGAGGTGACAATATCAGAATGGAACAATATGGCATCCACCTTGGAAGCTACTAAAAATATCAGAAAAATCACAATTACTCTATAAAAGCTTTACGTGTTCACAGTTTTAAGGTCGTGACACAGGGATTACTTTAAGAAAACCCTAATAAAGTTAAATAAACATCCGATGGTATGTATAAGATGCCTACTTACCAGTTACAATCTTGGATACCTACAAGTTTTGTCAAGAAAACGGTTTAGTAGATATCTATTAAGGTCATAGCTACATATGTTTGTATATCCCACTTAACTCGTATCAGAGCTTTTAACGAGACCCTAACGGCTTATACGGGGCTTAAAAA